GAAACGCGCCGCAAACGTTAATCGTTTTATTACTCCCCGTTACGCGCGTTTTACCGTATCTCGAAGTTCGCGGCGCGGGACGACGCGAAAATTGACACCGCGACGCATCGCGCCCGCCGGCGCGCTATTATTTTAATCGAGCGGCCCGCCGTTCCTTTGTCGTGCTCCGCCGGGGCCGCTGTTGTTTGTCAGAGCGTAAACAATTGGCGCATTGTGTGTTCGGGGCGCTGCGTTACTCGCAACATTATTGCAAATTTAACGCGAACGTTTATATCGGTTCCGTTGTAATTCGACGCGGACGTACCTACGGCGCGGCGCGGCGCGGCGCGGCGGCGCTCCGCGCTCGACGACGTGTCTGACAACGCGTCTCATCTCTCTTGGATTTAATAATCGAAACGTTCCCGGCACGCATCCATCGTTCGTGGAAAAACGCTTCGGTGACAGTTTGACGAATTGATCTGTGGATTCGTATCGCAGATTCCCGAGCTCTGGAGCATTCAGTCAAAGAACAGAACGTAACAGCGGAATGTAAAAATAGAAACCTGAGAGAATGAAATTTAAATTAATTTTTTCAATTCTTTAAAGGGAGTTGGGGTCTATACACATCGCAGTTGCATTCAACCCTTTTTAGCTCCTAATTGCGTTGCATTAGATCATAATTATGCACCATTATGTTTTTCACGAGGCGAGAGAGAAATTTCCTCGATTTTTCCTATATTTTAGAAATGCAATAATGCAGCCTTTCAATTTTATAAAAGATTGTTATGGGTGCGGCTGACGATGCAAGTGGACCACCACTGCGCTTTGTTTTTGCGGGTTACGCCGGTCGGCGTCGCGCATTTATGCATCGAAGCCAGTCCGACTGTTTACCCGTTTAAAAAAACGTATCCCTTTTTTATTATTTTTTTTTTAAATCGTAGTAGCTACCTGCTACGCCAATGAAACACTCGCCGACCTTCGAATCGGAGTCTGACCGTTTTTGTGTATCGTGCCGGTAGCCCGAGCCGAGGAGGGGCTGCCTCCTCGAGGAGTGGAAATAAACCTGAGAGGAGGTGCAGGACCCCTAAGAAAGGCTGGAGGGGAGATAGGTAGCGGCGAGAGAGTAGTCAGGGAGAGATGTGGTAGGAGAGTAACGACGTACTACAGAGTGATTCATAAGTTTGCTTGCATAGGCAATGTCTTTGGTTAGCTGGACTGTAAAAATGTTAAAGCGAACACGTAGCCGGGATGTTATTTTTGTTAAAAGATAAATGTTTCCTTTAAACTCATCCCGAGCATCACGACGAAGGTATACGGATATCGGTATTCCGAGAGTGCATCATCTATGATTGGTGCACATTCTGCATTATTACACATGTATATATTCCTTTGTGATACTCTTCGATTTGTTATTGATTCGGTTACGCTAGCGCCTTCGGAATTACGAAAATTAATCAATTCCATGATTATACGTATACGATAATCGAGCGTTAACGACGCGTGCATCGGAGATGAAACAAAATGAATTATCGTACTGAGCGAAAATCAAAGCTCGCCTTGTGCCGAGGTACTTCTTTTTTTTTTTTTTTAATTTTTACACGCGGAATCCGCGACTGTTGACTTGTTGAATTTCTTCGAGTAAGGCGAGCTCGTGATTCTTTAAAATGTCTTCAATACAAAATTCCGTCTCAATTTTGAGTTACCTTACTTTCGATGAAAATAAGAAATTCTCTATTCTTTCTCATTTTACCCCATTTTATTTCTCTCTTACGAATTCATATAAACGCTTCTTTACCGATTCTCATAACTCGTAAAATACGAACGCTCGTTTGGTATACGCAAAGTTAGATACTACGTAGATAATTTTGTAACGATTACAGAGAGTATATGTACGACAAAGAAATGTGATCAATCGATTAATACGTAGCGGTGTGCCATAAGATCTTACGAACGTGGTTGTTCGATCCGCGCGATGGTCGCGGAGTCGGTACGCAAAAAGAATCCGGACGAGCGACAATTAACAAACAAAAAGTGAAATCTCACCACGTCCAATTCGTATAGGTGAAAACGAGCTGACGTGTCACGGCAATCAAATATCTATATATACGTACATTCAGGAACTTAACGACGCCAAGCGGAAATTAGGTGGAAAAGGTCGCGGTAAAACTTTCTTTACGTTCGAAATATCGCTACAATTATTACACAGGTATGCATATATACATATATAAATATACATATTAATATATAATAGATTATCGCACAGGTGCTCCGAACATTGCAGGCATCTTCCACGCTCTACCGAAGAATACGTAATTCAGTGTGACTTATAGAGATCAGAGAATATGAATAATAATAATATAGTAATAATATTAATAATAATATTATAATAATAACAGTAATAATATTTACATTTTAATGACCGTTTTCAAGTCGTTCCGACGTATCGATAAGACAATGCAAAGAAGTGACAATCCCAAAAGATGGTTTTCGAACAAGCCGGAAACAATTTTATCGACAAGATAACAGCGCGGCACCTTCGGTTCACCTTCATCTCAATCGATTTAGTTATCTTTCTTTGTATTTCCGTCAAGCGAAAATGTATTAGAGATTATAACGTGTATATGTCGTGTCACGCTATCAGAAGCCGAAAGCTTTTGGTTGGCCGTACTTTTTTCTTTCGATCCTTCTGACTGTAAATGCAATTGTAACGTTTGAACTTTGGTAACTCGTGCAAAAAATAACTAATCAATTTCAAATGGCTCGCCTCCACTTTGTACAATACATTGAGTACTTGATGACGAACGCGCGAAGATAAGGATTAAATCCACGCAAGCCGAGTGCAGTTCAGATCTGATTCTCTAATCTAATCGACTATTTAAACAAGTGATTCTCTTGTTGAACGTGTTGTATTCTTACGTTGCCGCTTTGGTTCCTCTCCGCGAGGTAGAAGCTTCAGCTTCAGCTGTTTCCGAACTGATCTTAAATCGGTCTTTAACACGGATTGCTCGACTTTTCGACACGCCACAATGTTTTTCATCCTTTCTCGATAAGACGGTTTCCCTCGTGAGATTGCACGCGTTACACGACACGTGTCACTTAATCAAAATGTTATACGTATTATATATACTATTAAGCAATTGTCGGACGGGAGCGAACGCGCTTGTACCACACATCGACTGATTAGAATTTCGTTTGACTGTCCATGCGAGCGCAAACGAGAAACTCTTTCCCAGCTTTACGTTGCGATCGTTGCATCCTTACCGGATGCTGGATGACGTTTCCGTATCTCGTGATTATGCGTTAGGAGAGACAGAGTGGTGCGTTAAAAGTGCGCGAGAACAAATGTTTATACTATATAATATAAATATAATAAATATATGCGCTACGAGAGAGATGAGAGAGAGAAAGAGAGAGAAAGAGAGACGGTCAAGTATCGGGACACACGTGCGATAGTCGGGAATATTTAATTACACGACGTTATTACTACTATTTTCATATGCCGGATCAAGACGGAAAGATCCGCTCGTCCGGTGGTGTTATCCCGCGACTTTATCAATCGAAATTACATAATCAACATCGGTGGCGGTGCATTGACGCACGTGTGTCACAATACTACGTGTATCGCTCTCGTGCGCGCGTTTCTCGGTATACGGTAAACGATTAAACAAATGGGAATCACTAGTGTGTGTATATAGAGGACCACGGGTTCCTTAATTTTACAATTCTTGAGAGAGAGAAAGAGAGAGAGAGAGCACATGCTCATAAAAAATAATTAATAATAATAAACGATAATTCACATTGCGTATCTCTCGTTGCGCGCCTAGTAGACTGCAAATAGTAGTCATTCGAAAGTCCGTACATCGTGTTTTGGGGGTACGAGCAGGAAGTGTATAGTGTTTAATTACAATACAAGAAGTCCATGCATCGACGGAAGCTTCTGCGTCGCTTTCCGGACAATTACTTTTGTGATTTATTCGTAATCGAAGGAGCATCTAAGGTAGGTGCACCCGGTACCCGAAGATTTAAGAGATTAACACAGCCCGGCAAAGAAACATTGAGTTAAAAGAAACTGATAGTGTCGGACGATAAGCGCGTATATAGCGTAAACTCGTGAGCATAGCTTACAAGACGTTCCGCGGTAAAATAATAATCTTTTTAATTCCTTCTGTGTGGAATGAAGTATAACGATATAATCAAGTGCCCGATGTGGAATGGAGAGGAATTTACTCTAATAAAAGAATTAAGTCACTTAATTCCATCTGAAGGATTAAAATGAACGGAGAGAGTTGATAAATTTTTAAACTTATCTCTCTGACAATTTTATATAGAATGAATCAGTTTCTTTGAATGTCTTTTTCTTGCGGGGAAAGCTTTAAAAATCGACGGTAGAACTGAAACCGAATAGCCGGGAGAAGCCATCCCACCTTTCGCTCCTCGATAATTATATGAGTAATTGTCTTTTGTTTGACAGAAAAGCGATGCGAAGATCGGTCGCGTTGTACTCAGATATACTCCGCATACCTTGTTATTCAGCAGCAGTTGAACAGATGAATATGATTTATTGCAGAGAGCCGTAATACCACAAGTGAAACCGTTCTAAGTATATTTGTTATACACACATATTGTTACCATTGCCACATGAAAGCAATTATTAACTCCATAGCCTGGGCCATTGTTAGATGAACGAGAACTCGGGACTGTTTCTTGAAGTAGGATTGCAGCTGGGATTACTTTTTTAATATCACCGTAAAGTTCGCGTTTATGATTATTGCACCCTCTATAAAATGTAATAACTATTGTTTGGAGGGCAATTAAAAAGATCCAGGATTCGGAGACCTTGGGAACCGGATTTTAATAATCAGACTTTAATATTATTCTCCCAGCATAACGTGTCACGTATTAATTTTCTTGAGAAATAATTTTTTAGATGAATTGATTTTCGAACAGTTACGCTTCCCCACGATCTTGTTCTATAATATCATTGTTTGTCTGTCCGTTGTTTGTTTTTTAACGGCGCATGCAATCCTACATCGAGGAAGAAAAGAGTTACAAGAAAGTGTGAGACAAGTTATCGTAATAGTCGCCGATTACTCCGTAACAATGGCAATGCCCATACGTATGAAGTCTGTAATCGAAATGCTTTATATTTTTACACCGAACAAAGCAGTATATAACGTACAATAAAACAATAAAACATGTCCTTCCATACATGCAACCTCAAGATGACAAATGTTAAATTTTTATTTTTACAACAGCCCACTATCACTTCCGATATCTGAGCTATATTTGGGCGTATAATTATAGTTGAGACTATTAATTAGGATATTAAAGTCGGCTAGATTCATTTTAATCGACTCACAATTTTACGATTTCTACACGAATGATCGTCTACTGTAATATACGCATTATACGATACGTATACATATGTTAGTGATATTATACCGTGCGCGACGACGCGTTTTACGATCGTTAATAATCCCGCAGGAAAAGAAGATCTCGAAAGTGTTAATTTCTTCTCCGAAATTATGAAAACGAGCTGGCCTGTCCAAACAAATAGTTAGCGTTCCATTCGTCCGTTGTCGCAGCGTCCGATTGTACATTGACGCCAATTAACTCCGGCTATCCAGATTTATGCTGTTTCGAAGCGAAGAAATCAAAAGGAAGGGAGAAGAAGCAGATAGTACCAAAAGCGAATTGCGAACGCCGCCGCCGCGGCGTTTACCTTCACGACCGACACACATATTGTACATATGTATTTATTAAAAATGGTAGATATACGAACTCTCACACAAACACACACACACACACACACAAACATATGTATACATCTACGCAAAGGTTTCCACCATACCGAATACTGTGTATGAAATATTTTTCTCTCCGCCATTATCTTCTGGATTGTATGTACGTATACGAGAAAAAGAAAGTCTATATCGACGTGATTCCGCGACAACCTTCGATATTACTATTTCGTGTAATGAATGTCGGATAAAGCCGCGAATTGCGTTTCTCCGAGTAATCCCTGAATACGCGAGTTTCGACGTGGACAAACGAAAGCCACGTGGTCGAAGATGTGATAGTTGCATAACTTTAGGCGCAATGCCGTTCTTTTCTTTGATCGAATTTTCGCGGAATTCAATCAAGCGTGCAAAATCAAAAGTCGCATCCTGTCCAATTTCTGTCGACGAAACCAACTCCCGGCAAACGCGCCGAGAGACAAAAGTTAGCCAGTATCAGGTCGTTATGTGGTAAACATTTGCGTACACAACATGTCATTCCATCAGCAACGTCATCATTGTTATCAGCTGATCGAGCGTCCTGTCGGTTTCTCATCGACGGAACACTGTACGGTTTTTTATTATAGTCGCCATCAAATTTAATTTTAACATTATTCTTCTGTACAGGCTGTGTTGAAGTCCCGCGATCTCTTTACGGTTACAAACTCCCCAAATCTGAATATGAAGTTTTATGAAATTATATGAAAAATTATTGACGTTGCGAGTTATAAGGAGTTTCGGGTTACCTTCGAGCCGACGATGTTTGATATAAAAATAAATTATAAAATCTCATCCTTTGATCGATTAACGAATTTTGTTTTATCGATGTAATCTCAGGTGCAATTCGAGGCACGCCTACAGATTTTATATCGATGACGCAAATGGTTTCGATCAATTGAGAGTATTGATGGAAAATCTTCTGGGAGGAGAAATGCGCGTGAGACTTTTGACGCGGCCTACACATGCCAGGTTTGACATTGTAAGGCAGACACGACGAATCAAATTCACATATTTTTTTCTTTTTTTTTTCTTAAAGAGAACGTCTCTAATAATAAAAGACAGCAGTACTTAGTTGTATATACGTGAAAGTATACGTATCCGAAAGGAGGGAACTTGGATATTCTCGATTCGCCAAATCGCGACGGAATTTTCTTCAAGCGCGGAACGGGACGTCGCCAAATTGGGACTGCTTTTGGTGAAACGATAGGAAAGGAAGGATTCGATGTCGAATCTACAAGATGCGGGAGAACGAGAATGAGAACGAGGCTAATGACGCGATGCGTCGAGTCGAGCCTGAAATTAATAATCAAAATTGAACGACTGTTTGCGAAACACTTGTGATTAACTATTTTGTAAAACCAACCTACGGTACGTCCTTAGGTATATTATGTAACAAAATGTAGAAAGAAAAAAAAAAGATAAATAAATCGAGGAAAATTCCCTTGTGAGAGAGCACGAATATAAAATAAAAAGACTTTTTGAACATTATCACTACACTCTCATCTGAATGATAAAAAAAAGAAGAAAAAGATAAAAAAACCGCGAAGACAGTCTTTTTCGTTTCGATGTTTATCGTTACTCATTTTACGCGCGTCGAATCGTTGGGACTGTGTTCGTAATGTTATTAGTCGTTAGAAAATTCTTTATCATTAGTAGCCGTCAAAAGGGAGAAAAAAACAAATGTTTACATTGCAGAAGAAAAATTTACATACCACACGCTTACTGGAAAACACGAATATAAAATGTATTTCAAGACGTCTTCATGCAAAGCTGATGAATGTTTTACGTGTATCAAAATGTTCCCTTTTAATCCTATTAAGACTTACAAAATATTATAAGTATTATACTTTACTTGTATATATACATATGTGATAAAAAATATATATATATATCTATATATATACACATCTTGTTCTCTTGTGTGCGTAAAATTTATATTCGTGACCTGTTCTCCGTAAAGCAAATGTATATGTTGAAACATATTATATGCATAGTTAATTCGTAATGATACAGGTTATATGTCAAAATCTTGATACCGTGAGAACTACAAGCGAATTTGCAAATAAAAGTTTTATATATTTACAGAAAAATATATTTTTGACTTTCTATTTTTACAATTTGGGTTTTACAATCTTATTGAATTTATGTCTTAGCGTTAAACAATATAAAACAACGTGAAAACTTGCAATATTTGTGCAAGATATATATTTTGTTTTGATAGGAATGTATGTGTAAATTATGTGTTTATAACATGTTAACATATCTTTAAAATATCGCGATTACCAAGCAATTTTATTTAATGTGTATCGCGTTAGCTTTCGTAGATGTCGATCAAGTAAAATGTGCATTATGACATTTATCACAGTTTAGCAACAAGATATAATATATATATTCAGTCAATTAGTGGAATTATGTCAATAATTCCTAGATTCCTACATGGGATGTTTGAGAATCCAATGGAGAATCCACCATCATTCAAAGTGTATAATTAAACATCGTTTGGGATCATCATGTCCAAGTTGGAGACCGTACTAATACTGGGTAAACTGCTGTCGCTCCAATCAGGATGTGGACAGTTCCGTAATGGACTAGGTATATTAACAGGTTTCCTATTTTGCACATCACCTTGCTTTCTTATGCCAGAAATTGTTGATTTGGTAGACGTAATGCTTTCAAGAGCTTTCGATGTATTAAGATACAATTTTCTGATGTTATCATTTTGTTTTTCCTTAGGTTTTGCAAATTTTCTCGTCTTGTATGTATCATTTTCTTTATTGCGACCCTTCTTTGAGGAATGACGCAAGGATTTTTTCCCGATCATATTGTTCGTGTCCATATTTTGATAACGAACAGTATTATTTTGCATTGCTGATCTTTTAGCATTCGTAACTATTAATAATAAATATGAATACAAATTAAAAATTATATAAAGGTAATTTAATTAATAGCAATTGTGTTTAGTAAAAATTCAACTTACTTCTTCTTACCTTCATTTTGATCCGGCATTATAGTATGTGATGATTCTCCATCAAGTAAGCTAACAAGTTCAGGATCTTCAACAGGTGCATCTTTTCTTCGAGCGTGCTCTTCGCAAACGGAATTTACTGAAGAAACTGATATATCATCCAAAGATTGACTAGAATCATCAGTTGAAGTAGGAGACGAACATGCATGCCCTGTATGGATAAATGACATTTGAGGACTTGTGCTTCCTTCTTTCATACAGATTTCATTTAGGATTTTTAATTGATTTGCAATCTGATTTTGTAGCTCTCTGTAACATAAATTGGTGACATATATATGAATATTATGAATTAAATAGGTAAGTAGAGCGTGTGCGTGCTTTTAATTTTATCAATAGATTAATCGATTGTTGCGCACGTTGTACCATTTACAATTGTGTATCCACTAATCAGTAAATTTTTAAAAATATATATGTATTAATAATAATAGAATATATATATATATATATATACTAACGTTATTGTACTTCGGTATTCAGTAATTAGTGTATCTTTACAAGAAGATAACGCTGTAAGTTTATCTATCTCTAATTTACTATCAACGTAATTTTGTGCAAGTTCTGTTTGCTTGTTATTCAGATCTGTAATTATTCTTTCCTTGTCTTTAATATGTTGCCTTAATTCAGTTATTACTGATGTCATATCGTTTTTTTCACGAGTTGCTGTATCCAATTGTTGTCTTTGCACATCTGCATTAAATGCTAACTCTGAACATGTTTTATTAGCTTTTTTTAATTTTTCTTCTCGGTTTTGAAGTTCACTGATTTAAAAACGAAAAATTAAAAAATTAGTATATTTTTTGTTTTTTTTTATTTCTTAATATATCACATCACACCTTTGCAATTTTTCTCGTTCTATCATGAACAGATCATACATGGTCTTCATCTCTTTACTAGACTCTTTTGGAACCGCACTAGATTTTAGATCCTGCAAAAATAAATAACAATGTAACTAACTCACTCAAAAATATAAAAGTAATATAAAAATTTAATAAGACTTGTAAAATGTAAAATAAAATGTGTATGCTTAAAAATATGAATTATAATGACATAATACTTCAGATAGTGATTTTATTAAGGTTACCGGTATTTTCTGCAATGTTTGTTCCATTTCGGCAAAGATTTCACAGGTTCTTTTATCCTTTTTATTAACCGAATCTTGTAACTGTTTTATTAAACCCAACATATGTAATTTATTAAATACAACATGTGCTGAATTAAATTCAATAGGTTTATTGGAATTATGAATTTCGGGATTGTATATTGTACATTGTACAGCGCAATCCCGAACAAGAGTTATTGAACAGCACGGTGATGTTTTTAAATGTTTTTCGTCTGATTTCATCTAGAATAGATAGATTTTAATATGAAATTACATATTTAACAACATATTAAATATGAAAGATGTTTGACCAAGAATAGAAGGATGTATGTGTGTATGTGGATGTGTGAATTTGAAGTATATGTAATATAATACTCACGGGATGTTTTCCAGTACTCTGTTGTGTTTTGGCACTTGTATTCTTTTTTGCTTCTCTATTTTCATCATGTTTGGTAGACTGTTCTTTTGTCATATGTATTAAGTTCTGCTCTCTAAAAATATTACCCCATTTTTGTGGGGACTTATTATCATTAATCGTAGATCTTTTCTTCTCAGCTTTCTGCTCAGAGTTAAAATTTGCTACGGGCGAAGTACGTTTTTGACCTTTAGTTTTTTTAACCGTGACTTCTATACTATCGCCTTGGCCGAGTAGTATGATTTCCTTGGAAGGCATCGTGACACGCTGCTTGTGAAAATAATAAAAATTCATTTAAATATAAAATGTATTATAAAATTGCATTATAAAATATTGTAGTACCTTATGTTCTATGCTATGGGCTTTCAAAGTTTGTTGATAATTTCCTAAATTTTTAGTCTTAACAATCGCAGCCTCACGCATCTTGCTCATTTTGGAGCTTGTTGAAGTCACATCGACTGCCAGGCGTTGTTGTACATTTTTTTATAAACATGTTACGTGTATATTCAGAAAGTACTATAAAAACAAACGGAGAAACGGGATAAATATTAGTTCGACGATGGCAGACAATTTACATGTTGACAAATGAGCGTGTATTGTAACCTAAAAATACGATGTTTCACAGGAAATCGCAATACTTACAAGATACCTATCGCTTATCAGAGGTAGCTTTAGAGATTGGTCGTTAGACATCCAACATGTTTTTTGCAGAAAATTATCAGCCAGAATCCTTGGTACGCAAGTCGGACATCAAATCCCGCGCGACGGCATCGAACATCGAACTCGACTCCACTCGACTCGGAGTTATTTGTTAATTGTTTTTCTTCTCACTGCGCACGCGTTTATCCAAATTTTCATCAGTGTCAGTTGGTGTCAGTCACTGACTTCAGATTGTTGAACCCATGGCAATTCGTTTTATTTGTCGAACGAAATTTGTTCAACGGAGTCGGCCGCCAATAAACACGCGCGGGATCCTTTATCAATCGAAACGCGCAACGAATTTCAACGAATTCGGTCGCTCGCGCTGCGTGTTGCAGGCTTGCAGGCTGTTTAAAGGCTGCTGCTCATGAGATTCTTTTCGCGTGAGCTAAAACGCAACACGAGCATCTCTACTAACGAGATATCTCGTACCCGCTTTGTCACATTATTTAGCGGAATTTATACAAGTGTTTTGTCATTCGGAGCAGTTCGGCACATGCCTGTGCAGTGTGCATTCGGACAATTTCATGCGGAACGGCCTTTATAGAGTGCGCTAGCACGCGCGGAGCAGTGCGGGCAACCGAATTCGGTTCGGTATTCGTGTATTTCGTGTAGATGCACAGAGTTGCACGCGCATACATCGTCACGTCGTCGCGATTGAAGCGCAGCAAGCCCGAGATAACTAGCGTACGTTAATCAACGATAAAACCGTGACTGTCTCGCGGATGCTGTGGAAGGATCGCGTGTCGTCCATCCCGCGCGCGATAATCGATATCGAGGGTGCATCGGCGATCCGCGAATCGCGAGTCGCTTGGGAACGCTATTCAAGTGCTGAAGCTGACGTCCGTGGCCGTGGCGCGTGGCTCCTGACTCTCCGGCTCCTGGCTCGGTCTTTGTAAACATGGTGTTTGGACTCGTCGGGATAATTGTTTTTTTCCGCAAGACCGACTAGGCTCCGGCGCGGGCGCGGGTTTTCCGAGTAACGCGCGCGATCGCGCAGCCGCCCCCCGAGGCCCCGAGAGGACCGGCGTGTATCATGTGATTCTCACCGGGATACAACAAGTATGGACACAACTCCGTTACACGGTGAGTTTGCTGCATTCTACTATTTAGCCCGCTCTACGAGTCTACGCGTCTTCGGAATCTCGCTAACTTAACTATTGGGACAGTCCGATATCGATAACTCCGCTACGTTATTTGCCCTTCCCGCGATAGCCGAGATAGTTTCCTCGAGTACTCCATCGTTAGCCGCCGTTCTTACGCGAGTTATTCATCGGTAATTACAGAAACCTCGTGCCTACTTATATTTTCGCGTTTGCTTGCAATTTGCGTTTTGTTTATAAGATCAATCGTTCTTGTAAAGATTCTCCGATATTTTTCGCGAGCGTTTACGTAGGATCCCGCTTGCTAGGTTATGGTTCTCATCATAATTACACGATAACGCGGATATCATCAGATTTATATCACGATATTATTTTCTTGCGAAACAGGAAACTGTATGCTTTAATGACAAAAGTTTGGAACATCTCTTGGATACTTTATCATGGAACAAACAAACTCGTCACAGTCGCAAGTTCTGGTAGTCAAAGAGGAGATCAAAACGGATGTCGACGCGGAAGCAGCTCAGATCGCCGACCGAGATGTAAAAGCCATTGCTTCCGTAACAGAAGGTGGCCAAAACTTGTCCAAGGCGTGCAAGCTACAGTCGGAATCTGAATTAACGGTAGACAGTACTGATATCCATGTAGTAGCTGCATCAGAAGATTGCATGGATGCAAGCCACAGCGAGGTATCTGCTAAAGAAGTTGACGACGGCGCGAATAATCAAGTGAAACCTCCCTCTGAGTCGAGGGAGGCGGACGCAGAGATTTGCAAATCAGAACAGGAAGAGATCGAGATCTACGATACAAAAGATGAAGTAAATTCGAATCACGAATCGCAACACTTGTCCAACGAGGAAGACCAAAGCCTAAATGTGATAACTGAATCTAAACTAATAAAAGAAGACAAAGAAACAACGGGTAGTCTAGAAAATGACTGTAATATAATAAGGGACGTGAATCAATCCGATATCATAGATAAGCAGGATGTAGCGCTAGACGAGTCTAGACTTTGCGAACATCAGGGCCAGACTCATGACTCGTATGAGTCAGTTGAAGAAACAATCAAGGAAATACATAATGAAGGTAATCAGAATAACTCAATAGTAACCAATTCTGAATTGACTAAGTTAGTACAAGAGGACACAGAAGTAGTCGTAGTAGTAGAGACTCTGCCAGTTGCGACTGATTCTACAGATAATTTTATTGTTACTCTAGAAGAGAAAGACGCTAATAAAGAATGCAGCCAGGAAAATGTTACTTTGCGGGAAAAACAAATTGTGGAATCTGACCACAGCAACAATGAAATTGATCTCATTGACTACAGCCAAGAAAGTGACGATACTATAATAGAAGTGACGGAAGTTATAGATGCTCCATTTGCCGAACAACATAAAGAGCAAAATAATACGGACTATGTGGACAGTACTAAATGTGATCCAAAATCTGTACAACTAATTGACGGGAAGATTGCAATTGACGAAAGTATAAATGATGAAAATACTGAAGCAAAAGCGACTGATAGTAAAACTTTAATTAGTTCTGGGAAAAAGGATAAAGAAGATATCACTATAATCATAGATGAGAAAATCATAATTACAGAAATTGAGTCAACAGATCTGCCACAAATTGAAAATATCCATAAAGATACCATTAAGGAGATGACCGAGCGTAAACAAGATGACACACCTGCTTGTAAAATACCGGCAGTGGACTCGTCGATGAAGAAAAGAAGCGTTATTCAAGATATATTTGACGACTGGGGTGTTGAAAATACGGACGAAGATGTGCAGTCAACTTCAAAAGTGCATGATTCTGTCGAGATCGAATTAAAAAGTTTATTAGATGAGACCAAGACGGACCAGACTGTTTCGAGTGAATCAGTTGTAACTTCTCAAGAAAAAGTCCCTTCTGCAAATGAAGAATATGACGAGACACATGACATCGTAAGTACAACCGAGAAGAATAAAACGAAGCAGTCGATGGAAAATCAAAAGAAAAATAAAGCACGTAGTAAGGACGCAATGTCATTGAATAAAAATGAAAAGAATTCTCCTGTATCATCTGCAAGCAGATCTTCACGAAGTATGGATACGCGTGCGGTTAACGCGACGTCGCACGACACCGCAGTTCCTAAAAGTCGTTCTCGGCATTTAACCAGTCAGATAGCGTCGCCGGCGGAAGTGACGGAGGTGTTGAAGGAGCGTTTCCGCGAAAAGCAGAAGAACGTAGACGCACCGCGTGGACCGGATATATTCTTTGTGAAGAAATTAACGCAAAGATTGTCTAGTAAATTGGCAGGTGGACCAGTGAATCCGGCACCAAAACTTATACCACTGCCACAGCAAACTGCTTCTTCAAATCCAGCTCCTTCTTCCGTAACTGCACAATCGGCGCCGGCTAACTGTGATAAGAAAACAACAGCGGAAAACACAACAACGGAAGCAAGTAAGGATGGTAATTCTGACAACAAGGAACTATTGGCTATTTTAGAGGGTGACATTGATCCTGATTGGTCTATCTTGAAGCCACCAGTTCTCACAGAAGAAAGCAAAACACCGTTAACCGTGGAACACTCCGAGCAAAGCAATCCACCAAAACTCGACCCGTTGGTGGAACGAGAATTGGCGTTAAAGCAGCTCCTTGAATTACCCATAACACCGTCCAAGAAGATTCCATCGCGGAAAAAGAAAACGTTCCGAGCAGCGCCCAGTAGAGCATCTAAAGACGCGACTATTGACGCGAAGACTCCGCTTGCTACGCAGCCAAAAGAAGTTAACATAGATTTAGCGAGTGAAAACGCGCAACCAAATACAAAGTCAGTTGGAACTAATCTATATTCTTCATCTCGCGAAAAGAGTGGTCAGAAGAATCAGGAAGGCATACGAATAGAAGAATCGAGATCAGGCAGAAAGCGCAAACCTACTGAAAAAGCGAGGGAGCATGAACAAACGATAAAACGGCAGAAGGTATACAGGGGTAAGGTTCCGATAAGTAAGAAACAAATGGAAGACAAGCCTGTTTCCAGTGATAGCTCGATTGAGAATCACATTGCGGCGAGCGATGCGACGAACGTTGATGCTGTAAATAACGAGAAAACCGTCGCGAAAGAAGTAGCGAGTAAGCAATCCGAGGATAAGGTAGATCCAGTTTTGAATAAAGTCGAAGATTCTCCCTTGAAACGATCGAAGCCTAGTCTTGCTAGAAAGGGACCGATGACCAAGAGGAAAATGGTAGTCAAGAGATTGCTGCGCGAAAAAATGCCAATTGATAAGAAGTCTGTTCAGCTGAAAACTAAGTTGAATTCGCCGTCAAAGAAGACTCCTCCGAAAGCTGTCTCGAAACCGCCAAAACGGATAGTCGAAGGTCCATCCGGTGACGTGAAACCCAAGAAGAAGAATATAAATGAGATAGATAGATTGTTGCAGGACGAGGGTGTCGTCAATTTACTGTATGATGTAGAGCAACCGGATAGAAAACGTTTGGTTCCCATTACGAAGTCACGAGCGAAGGTGATGGACTTGCAAAAGGTGCAACGTGAACTTAAAATCAGGAAAAAATTGGTTCGCAATGCCGTGCTGCGATTGCGCACGCCAACAGTCGCAAGTGACAAGAAAGTGTCACCGAGATCAAAGAGAACGGCAATTCATTCGAGTGATGTTCAAGATAAAAAGATGGTAGAAGTCACGTCGCCAAAAACTCCTACTTCACCCACGGAATTTATTCTCCCGGCAAAGATTCGGAACGCGGCCGACGCGTCCATCATCATCAGGAGACACTCGTCTAGTTCATTTTCCAGTGCGTCTGGAAGTCCCAGAGTTAGCATTGACTCATCTGAGAAATTTGTAGAAGCCGTCAAGTCGGATGACGGAACAATTCATTCCTTGAGATCTGCTAAAAAGAGACGAGATTCGCAAGAAGAGAAGATTAATATTGCGAAGAAGAAGAAGAAAACAGTACAAAAGTATGATATTGATGTTACCTCTACCAGCACCAGTAGCACCGCTGCTACAACTACCACAGCTGCTAACAATGCTATTGCTAATAATGCGGAAGAAAAAATTACTGTCGTTGCGCGTCCCGGTAAGAAATCGGAAATCAAGAAAGTCGACAAGATCGGGAAACAACAGGAAAACATTCCCGCGATTGAAGACAACGTTTCGAGTAAAGTTACAACTAGATCATCGAACGGTGCAGTAACAGGGAAAGTAACAGCAAAGAGCAAAAAGGAAAAGCAAGGTATGAAAAGCAAAGTGACTTTTGCCAAGGCAAATGATCTTAATAATACTGATGACTCTTTGAAAGATGAATTATCTGCTTGTCTTGCTGAAGCAGCTACCGCTCTTTCAATCGTCAATGCCAGAAACGTTGCGACCACACGAAAGAGCAAAGGTAAAGGTAAACACTTCTAATATCTTTTCTTTGTAAAATATAACAGTTATTTTTTTTGTTCACTTTTTTACACGAGAAAATGATAAAAGGTTATGTAAGTTAAAAAAAGTAAGTTAAAAAGAAGAAAAATAAGTTAAAAATAATTTGAATTTTAAAAAAGTACGCAAAAAATCACACGATATTATTATTAGGTTATCAAGGTTTAATCTAGATCGTAAATGGCGTTTTTTTTCTCTCTAATTGATTGTATATCATAACGGTCGTGTTTTACTTATTATTGTTGTTTAAAAGTAATTTGATATAAATCATGTGCTAAATATCATACGATATTCCAGTAAATACAAGTACCATGAAAACGTTGGACGCAGATAATAACAAAACAAAAACTGAAATGCAAGGTCAGTTCAGCAATAAGGAAATAAATGTGCGCCGACACGGTAATCTCGTACAATTAATACTTACGCCATCCTCTTCGACGAAAATAAGAAATGCTCTCACATTGCAAGTAAGTACTTTCGCGCTCGAACAATCTCCAAATCGTATATAATTATAAACTGCTAAATGTGTGTATTACTTTTAATGGTATTAGGTGATGCAAGAATTCAGAGAGGCTCTGTCGATATTGAAAAGAGATGACGAATGCAGGGTAGTACTGTTAACATCTACGGGGACAAGTTTTTGTGAAGGTCTTGATCTTTCAACATTATTGCACACAAATAAGGAGGAACGACGATCTACTGCTCAGGAGTTGGCACATGCCGTCAAGTATGTACTTAAGTTTGTACAAGCATGATAGGTGATACGCGATACTTCATATATTTTATTCATATATTAAAATTTTTATTTCTTTTTTTAGGGATTTCATAAAAAGTTTGGCTACTTTCAATAAACCCATAGTGGCTGGCGTACAGGGTGCTGCGGTTGGACTCGGAGTGACAATGTTACCTCTTTTCGACCTTGTTATTGCTAGTGATAAGGCGACGTTCTGTACACCTTACGGGAAATTAGGACAAATTGCCGAAGGTGCTGCAGTCTTCACCTTGTCACACATACTAGGCAGTGCAATTGTAAGTTATAAACAATTCCGTAACACGTAAAGTGAAAATAATACATAAAAATAACACATCTATATATTTCGATAGACGAGCGAGCTTCTTTTGGGTGGAAGGACTCTGACAGCAAGTGAAGCGTTAAGAGCCGGTCTCGTTACTCGAGTTTTATGGCCTGATCGGTTTCAAGTAGAATTATTACCATCATTGCGGGCTATGAGTGATCAGTCGTCACAGGTAATTTATGTACAACAATATCTCTTGATTTTAATTTTATTAATAAGCTTTCGAGATATATTTTAATATATATAATATATTTTACATACACGTGGCATCGTTAAAAGTATTTTTCGTAGTTTTTTTTTATATTTATTAAATTATAATATCTTTGTATATTTAGTAACGGTAACAATAAGCCATATAAGCAGGCCCAGAATAGAGTAGTTCTTGTACATTTACCTGTGTCTTATTCTTAAAAACGCATAAATGCTTTTCTGGGCAGGTACATCTGTAATAGGTCGAATATAGATCAGATCGTATGTAGCCGCAAAATTCCAGAGATTCGCACATTCTTTTCTGCATTAAAAAGTTTGCATTCAGTAAATAACATATTAGTAAATTAAAAAATATTAAATATTATAAAATAAATAAAGTTATAAATTTTTATCCATTCCTGCATGGTTTAAACTTTTTTATCTTCAAATAAGAGACTGCAGGAGAGAATTAGTAGTTTTATATACATATAATTATATAACAATAAATGTTTAAATCATGCGGATGTACAATAGAAAATACTTTTAAATTATTAGAAAAAAGTTTCGCAAAATGCCAAAGGAATTTTCTTTTGTGCATTATAACACACATACAAGGTGTACCTTAACACATCTGAATATTTGAACGAGACCGTGCTCTTCGTACGTGTATTTTTGCAACTTCCAGTAATGTGTTTGCGGACATATGCAACTTATTGTCACATTGTACGGTATTATGTAGCTATTATTCGTATCACCTTCCCCGTGTACTACCACTGCCTCTTGTTTATACGCACATGTCTCCAGTTCCATTAATTGTGTGCAAAACTGTGCCAGGAAATGTGACTGTTAGAAGCGTCAAAAAGAGATATTTTTTTTAGAGTAGTTACCTCAATATTTTCGATACCTTCAGAATGGATCTATTATTAAGGAATATAGTTGAATTATCAAAGGTTTTCGTCCATTGCCACGGACATTCTCTTCCATTAGGACAGTGGCAAAGTCTTTCCGTTAAACCGGGCATCCAAAATCGGTCATGAATTACATTACATACCTCGTACGGCTCACAGTTATGTAAATCGCTTTCCCCTTCAACCTATTTTGATTCAACAGAGTTTTATCATGCCGTCACACTTACGAAAAGTATTTATATGGTATAAGTTGGTATTACGAACTCCTTTTGTGTACTTGAACGTAATATTGTTAGCCTTACTGCTGATTGTCGTATACACACTGACACTCGCGCTTATCAGAGAAACGAAAAAACAAATTTTGATAAACATATTTACAATCGTGTGCGTACTTGACTACGTTAGATTCGATTGTCATAAGCGAGATTATATTAACGCAAGTGGCAATAATGCTAATACATTCTCGATTCTACGGTTGCTACCACATGACTCGTAATTACGAAACTTTTTAATATTCATGACATTGTCTTCGTTTCATTTGTAAAATACAGAGATGTGATATAACGTACGGTAAATCAAAGTGTTGGTAATAAAATCCATTTTTTTTCTGCAATATTGAGCATATTTTAATAAATATGAACGTAGATTTCAACAAGAAGAGTATTTGTACAAGATATTATAAGGAGAGAGGATTATATCTGTATGTGTGTACAATTATGATTTTTTAAATCACTAATCATATATTTTTTTAAATATATTATTTTTAGTCCATGGAAGCAACAAAGGCTTTACTACGTCACAGTTTGCGAAAAAAATTGGACGCCGCACTTGAATCAGAAACATACTTATTGATTCAGCATTGGTGCTCCGCAGAATGCCAGACTGCTATAAAAGCTTACATTGATGGAAAAATTCAATAAACAACGGTAAGTTCTTACATGATAAAATATTACGACGAATATATTACATTTTGCAGTTTATTATAATTATTTATTGTGTAAAAATGTTAATTGCAGTGCATATACTACTGTTTAATCGTGGTCCTATCTCTCTCTGTATTAAAAATCAGAAGTAATGGTTTGTGAATATGGATGCAGATGATGAAAGTCGTATGACAACTGAAATCAATAATGTCATATAAACAATTTTTGATGTGACATTCTACGTCAACGCATAAGATATAATTTAAGTATAAGACAAAAATATTGAGAATCACTCAAAAAGATGGGCTATTTTACTATTAGATCATTTATTATACATAAATATATATGTATACATATATATATATTTCTATATATACATATACATATATATATATACATACATATATCCTTCTGCATTATGTTATTATTGTTAGATTAAAATAAAGATACATTCATTGTAAGGATCAAATTATATTTCTGATACACATTAAATTACCAAATTCATTGGCTCGTGTGAACTTTACGTTGTGTGTATCTGTGAAGACTTGTGCGACTGTTTAAAAAGAAGTTCGTAAGTTGCACATCAGCAAACTTCAAAGTTCAAACAGCCAATGGATCTGTTTTCCTCCCTGTAGAACGATATTTATATATGACATTTTCGCAAAATTAACAAGTATTTAGTTGGAAAAAAATGGCAGAGCCGACAATGCCATGCACGTATGAGTTTTCGAGAGGCTATGGTACTGGTGTGGCAGAAGCGCTTGGAAATTGGGGCTTCTCTAATCAAACGTGCAACGCTGGCCAAGAATTACGACGTTTAAAGTGTCTCTTTGCAGAGATGGATTCTTTGTGAGGAAAACATGCGTTTCGTTCAAAAAGAGGCTCAAATTGAATTATTCTTCCTTAAGGAAAAATTCGGCTAGGATTGAATAGGAATGAAGGAAACGCCTTAATATTACAGACGTAGCAACAACAAACCGGTGATGTGCGTTAAATACGATCGCAGATACGATCCTGATGCGTGGTACGTTAAGCCTAGCCCTGATGAATGTAAACCGGCGTGGACATTTCCTGTAAAGAGGCCTCTGATTACTTACTGCTCAACTGCAACAGTTATGAAAGTTTCCAATCTACATGATGTCGGATCGGAATTAACGCACGTTATTCCTGGTCGTAGCTATGTTCAACAGGGTGTATGTATATATTCTTTCAATGAGTTTAATCATTTGAAGCGAGTTAGCAAGGCTTTTATTACGTATAATTACCACATAAATTTTGGATATACATTGTATCCTAAAGTAGATACTCCGTACAATTATATAATTTACTTTTAGACGGCCAAATGGTATCGTCGAGGTTCAAATTGTTGTTATCAACCTAGCTGTTTAGCCCCGCAATGTCCTGTACGATATTGTGAAGGCTAATCTTCAAAATTTTTATATAATTGTAATCGTACTTAAATGGTAATGTTAAACTAAATATAGTTTTGATTTTTTCTAATGATAAAGTGTAATATCTGCGTAGTACATATATATTTATTATATTCTGAAATATGTTTTGTAAATTAAAAGAGAAATCACGGTGGAGGATTCAAGGTACAAGGACACAAGTAACGATGCAATTAAGTTAACAAAAAATTATATCCGAGAGCAATGAGGTCGTTTAATTTATTTTTTTTTACTTTAACAAACACAGTGTCCTGAACTTTTGCGCGTTGCGTGAGAACAATTACATTATTATATGGTGGGACAAGTGAATTAACTGACCGTTTTACTGCAAGATTTTTACTCTTGAGCTGATATATCGGTGAATGAAGTATCTCTAGATACTAGTGTTACAACAATGTACACTAATTCAAATTCCTTACATAGAAATCTACGCAAGTAGCAATTTGTAAGATCCTAGATAAGGAGCTCTGTGCTGTCTTTGCGATGACTCTGCATGAAAGCTTTCCCCCGGGATTTTTATGTACAAGAAAAAATACAAAACTGAATTGATGTGAGTCATGATACAATATAAATATGAAAACCGTAAGAAAATGACGTACGATTTACGCGAATCAATAATATATGTTACGCGAGTTATTAAAAATATACTTATGATACTTTAAGCAAGTAATATACATATCGAAATGTATAAATTAAGACTAGATAGAATATCGGAGACCTTATCTACTTCTACAGCCAATACAGTAATCGAGAGTGACTGAAGTACAACTTATAAGCTAGTTACGCAATAACATGCGGCACAATGACGGGCTGAAAGCGTACTGGCAAGAAGAAGAGAGCACATGATATTTTGTTGACATTTCGTTTTCCTTTTCCACATATTCTGGTTTAAGTCGGACATAACACTGAAATCAGAATAGCAATTTTGTAAGTGCTTTTTAAAAAAACTATTATTCAACATTAGCAATACTTATATATTATTGCTTATGATATGTTCAAATTAAAAAATTAGTATTTACAGTGGATAAGATTTATCAAAATTGAATTAAAAATTCAATTACCTTTGAGTATATAATCCGTCAGCAAAGTGGGTACTGTCGGGCTATCCTCGCTAATGGCCTTTAATACTGCAAATAAACATGTTATTGATACATGTAATTAGGTACATAAAACTATAGTTCGTAATTAAATACTTACTTTTGATGAGTACTTGCAAAGCTTGATTGTCTGGCGGACCACTGTCTGTATGATATGGAATAACGGTCGTCAGGTACTGTAATGAGAATGATAATTATATCGTTTTTATTTTTCTCTGAATTGTACAATTAAATTGAAAATTGTTTTTTTATTGAAAATTTAATTTTCTGTAAAAGTATTCATAATTCAACGGTCGATATTATGTTTACTACGTAAATGCGTAACTGTATATACAATGATATACGTTACCTTCGGCTCTTGCAAAGACCTATGTTGCGGCAACGGACTAGTGCCATTCTGCATTTGACCTCTCTTCTTTGTAACGTGATGCTGCCTACGTCGATTTTGCACAGCCAACAGTAAAGAGATAAACTGGTTTTTTAGTTCTTTTTCGTATTCTAATTCGTCTCGAAGCGCAAGCTCGGCGATCAGTGTTTCGCTCAAAGCCGCAACCAAAGATTCCATTTCTCCAAAAAGTTCAGTTAGTTGGCTGGAGGAAAGTTGCTTTAATTCTAAAAATACATCTAACGCTTTATGACATGTATTTTTATTTTAGAAATTATAATTTATTTCTAATTATGTTAAATATGAATATTTTTATATTATGTAATTAGTGTTTTAAAACATACTCTTTTCGTGAAGTGGTGATCCAAGTACTTCTCTACTTCTTTCCAAAGCTTCATCGCTGTCCAATAACGAACCTTCTGAATCCGGCGATCTTTCCATTGACGGACTTTCCTACGGCGACAAGTTGCAGAATTATTAATCGTTCGTTTAGTCATTACTGCACCGACAAAGATACTCTATTGCGCCGAGATTATACCTGCATTATGTCATCTATCTCGCGAAGAACTTCCTCGGCGGTCTTCAGCGGCTCTTCAGGACTGTGAGTATCAGTACTGCTGGATAAGATCAAAGCATGCATGTCCAAATCTGTGGCAACTGCCTCGTCTTCGCTACTCAAATCCTCTAGTTCGGGTCTACAGCGAACAAAAAAACAAAAGCGTTGAATTTACAAGCGCTAGCGCTGTCGTGAAAAAGCGAAGTCGATCTATGATAAGCAGTAGTTTCGAGAAAATTTGATTTTCAAAATGCATAGTCGCTGCAAAGTAAACTTTCGACGAATAATTGTACTTGTGACAAATAATTAAACGCGCAAGAAACGGAAACGTATCTACCTCTCCGTCGAAGCGGGTGCTTCGTTCAGATTTAAAGCGGGCATATGCATTTTTCGCGCGTAGGATTTGCTCCAATCGATGGGTAATATATTCCCGAAAGTTCCGGTGATCGTCCACCACATCCTGAAAGAAAATTCAATGTCAGACATATACGTTTATTGAGGCGCAAAGGATCTCTGGCGTCTGCTAAGGGTCAATCGCTTGCTCTTAGCAATCGCTTATATCGCTTATGTACATGTAAACAGATGCAGAATCTTAATAGATGACTCATATCCTCTAATTCACACCATTCTCTGGTCGAGAATACAAATGTGCCTTAAATTTATGTGTCATCGGTTTTTTCGCTCGTCTGCTGAATGATTCGATACTCATTCATAAAATTATCGCATCCTCTCTTTTTTTATTTTAATTATTTGAAAATATTTGAAGCGGGATTTCTTACAACAGAAATAAATCCATTTTTTCTTAAACGCGTGCGAGAGAACTGTCTTCCGTTTTTGCTTCAAAACTTTAATCGGATTGCATAATGCTGTTAATCATTTTACTAACATCGAAGTAATGAGATTATTTCAGAACGATCCTCTAATTTTCATTTTATTTCAATTCTTCCATAATGCTTGAAATATCTTTTTTGTTCTAATATCTAAAATTAAATTTCTAATCTCTCTCTCTCTCTCTCTTTCTTTCTCTATATATGTCTCTCTTTACATGTGGGTAAAGAAAACATTTGTTCATCGAAATGTCACAACAGTTTCCGGCGTCCATCTAAAGGTTAATGAGAATGTATGACAGAGATGGTCGAGTAATTTTAGCGCGAAGGACACGATTTACGATAGCATGATGTGTAATGCGCGATCAATAAATGCAGATGTTCCTATACGAGGATGATATAATGCCGCGATATTATTGAGTCGTGCCAACGTGTGTTGTATACCACAATGTAGAAACACGCATTTGGAACATCCTATATATAGCTGATGAGAGTGACAGGTTTCTCACTTGGGAATCTTCGTCTTTTAATACCGCGTGTGCTTATACCATTTATATAATACCCGTGTGAACATTGCCATTGGGACACATTTAGGACTTAGGACACCCTCTATGGTGATGAGAGCGATATAGACTTTCTAGGACGCCGCGTGAATCACTGCGGGCTGTGGGCGTTTCCTGCGTTACGCATTGTACATTGTACGTGTACGCACTGCATAGATAAGACGTTTAATCGTGCACAAACAAAACGTAAGTCAACGTTTATGGTGGTAACGTGCCGTTTTCTAGAGGAAGTGATTTTTCATGCGAAGAACGGCCAGACCGTCGGCGTCGCCGCGCCGCGCCGCGCCGGAACGAAGGCTCCCCGCGGCGCAAATTTGCGAACAATGTATCTCGTGGGAGCCGAGCAGCAAAAACGGCATTCAAGCTTGTAATATCCTTAAGAGAACTGAATTATCAATCAGCTATTAATTCCTTTTACTTCTTCTCGAATGTCCTGCAACCCTCTTGTGGTCGATGGGTGACGGAAGCCACGTGTTTTAAAAGTCGTTCCAAGAGGGAGCTCTGTTTTTCTTAAAATGTCTCAGTTTCGCTAACTTGAAATATTCACGTTTCACGAATTCGATAAAAAGATCGCAATTCCTTATTTTTCTATCAATCAACATTTCTCAGAAAGTTCAAATCAATTTTTACACGAAAATTCCTTAAATACATAAATTGGGAATTTCTAATTCTTGTGGAAAAAATCGTGTAAAAAAATGTTAGAATTTTAAAGTGATTAAAATCTGTATTATGTAGAGAATATTAGATATTTCGATCTAAATATTTATTTTGTTCAAAATTAGCATGTGTCTGTATGTACTTATTTGTGGAAATAGAAAAATGACTGCAATGGATATCAGAGGGAGAGAGAGTCAACGCATTGATCGGCCATCTGATGCCGTGGGTTAATAAATCGAGGTCAACTCAGTCCACTTGAGTCTCTGATTAATGTAAAGTGGCTTTATCTCCAGCGCACACGTTGTTCGCATCGAAACGGCCAGACATTTTATACCACACACGGTATGTACGAAGCCTCTACCAAGCTAATTTATCTACTTTCTTTCCGAGCGCTTGCAAAAATCACAAGCGGCTAGGCGAGGATAAAAGGAAGCTCAGCTATTGTAAAATTAGCGTAATCTCGAAAAAATGGGGATTTCGCAATATTGCACAAACAGCCCCTATCGATTCTTCTAAATTCGCTTGCTTCCCACAAAATTCATATAAAAGAGAGAGGGAGAAAGCGAGAGAGAGAGAGAGAGAGAGAGAGAACATTAAAAAAATTATCTTTCTTAATTAAAATCGGACAAATTCTCTTATAGCTTCCACGTATAAATTCACCCCCGTAGCACCCCGTGGATGTGGACGACGCCATCTGAGGCGCGTGCGCGCCGATATTGACGTTCGCCCTCTGTTTAGAGGGTGGTGTAGCTCGATACGAACGAAGGAGCAAAACAGAGATTAAATTTTCATGTCACGCGTTTTCGTCAGTATCAAAACACTCAGGAAACATAATATCAGTAAAGGAAACGATTTACTTTCGAGTGTTCCTCTATCGGACCACAGATACCTAACGCGAGTCATTTTAAAAATAAAAAAAATACGTAAATTTTCAATCATGTATTTCTGAGAAAAAATAATCGCTATATAGAGTCCATGTAAAAAAAACTCAGATGTTAAATT